GAAGAGAGAAAAAGGCTGGTTATATGGGGTTCTCTCAAATAATCTCTAATTAATGCAGATAAGAAAATCCAACTACTTTTTCCTTATTCCCCAGGATAAGTCTCATGTGAGCCTGCTCTGCACATTTGATGTGCTTCTGTCAAATGTGTGCTTAGAGACCTAGGTATTCAGAAGGTATCAATAATTTTTCTTAAGGGACCTACAAAAATCTTTTATCATAGGCAGGGATGATGTCCAATTACACATACTAACATAACAGATTGCGCAGGAGACTCTGCACTTTGGGTACTCTTAGTGGATGAAGGGGTGTACCTGTTGGTTACCCCAACAGACATGCTATTGCCTGTCACTGTTTTACTTTGTAGGTGCTAGTCAGTGTCCTACCTTTCTTTAGTGCCTGTTGGTGCTGCCACTGGAAGAGATGTAAGCAAAGGAAGGGACTGTGGCAAAGGCAGATCACATCATTTATGAATAGTTGCTAAGATGTAAGGAACGACAACTGGGTTGCATTCAAGGGTCCAGATCTGCTGTGTCTGTTCCCACTGTGCACCACTCATTCTGTCATAGACTCCTGGAATGGCTTCAGTTGGAAGGAATGTTCAAACCCTCTGCCATGGGCAGTAACACCTTCCACTAGAAGGAGGTTGCTCCAAGCCCTATCCAACCTGACCTGGAACACCTCCAGGGATGGGGTTGGGATGTCTTTTCTGGATAACCTCTGTCAGTGTGTCTGCCCTCAAAGGGAAAATTTCTGCCCAATACCCCATGTAACCCTGGCCTCTGCTTGCTGGAAGTCATTCCCCCTTGTCCCATCACTACATGCCCATCTCCAGCTTTCTTATAGCACTTCTATGTACTGGAAGGGGCACTAAGTTCTCGAGCTGAACAAGTCCAGGTCTCTCATCCTGTCTCCATAGAAGAGAGGCTCCAGTTCTCTCATCATCTTTGTGGCTTCCTCCAGACTTGCTTTAGCAACTCCATGTCCTTATGCTGAGGACCCCCATCACTGGACACAGTCCTGCAAGTGGTGGTCTTACAAGAGCAGAGTAGAGAGGTAGAATCCCCCCCCACCCCTTAACTCTCTGGTCCTGCTGCTTTTGATGCAGTCTGGGATACAATGGGATTTCTGGGCTGCAAACATGCATTGCTAGACCTTGTCAACATCAGAATCTTGCTCTGGGCATGAGAACAAGCAAAACATATTTTGAAAGAGTCCAGAGCCTCTGCCAAATCAGAGCTTGGAGCTTCTGACTTCCTTTAAGATTTAGGTGAGCATACAAAGCCATGTGAATGAGCTACAACAAGAAAAAATTCTGTTGATTAAGCAACATACCTTATAAAACAGTTGATGACAGAAGTGGAATAAAATCTAGAACTCTTGGCTGTCTGCTGTGGGCTGGCATATAGTATCATATATATCAAAGGATACCCAAGCATATTGGAGAATCTTATGCACATATCTTCATGTGAAATCCTTGCTCATGCTCTTTCTTATATGATAGTTCATGTTTTATCAGGTTTCTGTAAAACTGATCTTACTTGTAGTCATCCAGAAGTCAGAGATGCAAAAATCCTATTTTGTGTCCATCCCTTTGAGCCCATTACATTTATCAGTACAATTCTTCTATCTCTGTCTCATCAAGCATGTTACTTGTCCCCACTTTTAAATTCACTGACAGCCTCTTCCTGTCCTCTTGTCATCTCTCAGTTCCCCATTAGAAGTTAATTCTATGATGTCAGCTTCCATCTCCCTCTAGATCATTAAACCTACTTCTCCTAAGCTACTGCTTACACATTGAAGGTGCTGCTTACAATTCTCTTGGGCTACATCAACCTCATTCTTCAGCTCTCCCTGTAAAGCTCTGCTTTACAGAGTTTCTAAAACCTAGATGACATCTAGGCTACCCACATGGTGAGACTGTGCTGTCAACTGCTTGTACTATTTCCTCTCAGTGGTATCTATCAAATAATTTATTTTACCTTACAAATTCTTATGAGAAAATGTCATCTTTTTATTGTGTGTTCAACTGGATCCCAAATCTGGGGGTGAATCCCAGAATATGAATTTCTGGTGATAGATTTAGCAATAATAGTCAGTCATCTGTCTTTGAGAGCATTTGGAAAATCTTTGTTGTACAAATTCTGGTTAAATTACTTAAAATTGCTTTTGGGAAGTGGAGGCAGGAACCCCAGGAGGGAGGGGAAAAACACAGCTGCAAGGCCTCATTTCTTTGAGCAGATAACAGGCAGAATTCTGCTCTGGAAACATACAGAGAGGATGGAAACACCATTGCAATGTCTTGAGACCGCTTTGGAAATCAAGGTCACTACCACCTCCTGGTGCTGATAGACTGCTGGCAGTGTGTCTGGTGTATCATTTCAGGTCATCATCTCAAATATTTTGTACTTCTTTCCTGCAGAGTAAAGCTGGTTCTCCCTTCTTAACACTAGTTCTCGAATGGCTTTTCTGCCTTCACCCACAGATCTGCAGTGTTGCAAAAACTGGACATTAGAGCACAAGAAAGCAGCAAGCAGTCTGGTCCCCAAGGCATCCAACTAAGAAGTTGATTTGTCTTCCACTGCAAGCAGCTGCTGTAATTGCACCTGCACTGATAGTACTGGGCTTCCATCTGAGCTAATAGGAAGACTACAAGTCTTGCATATCTTTAGGGAAGAGGTTTCAGAAGTAAAGACAGTTCCCCTTTGTAAAAATTCTTCACTTTGTTTCTGTCTAATTGTGTCTACTTTCAGTGTCCAACCACTGGACTCTTTCCATCTTTCTCTCATAGATTTAAAAAAGAAAAAAAAGAAAATACTTTTCTCCTACCTAAAATCATCTTCTCATGAAGATACTCATGGTTGGTGTGAAATGACTACTTAACCTTTCCTTTGGCTAAGTTAAGGAGATTCACTTGGTCTGTAATTGATTTCTGAGTAAAGTTACCCAGGGCTAAATCATTCACCTAGCCCTTTCCAGAAGCATTTGAATATTGACAGCAATTTTTTGTTTAAAGTGTTGATTCCAACAGAATAAATTAATTAACGGTGATACAAATGCTACATGTAGCTGCAGTAACTTTTCTCTTAATTGATATGTATCCACAGTCTGTATGTTAGCTCCTCTAATTGCATTAATGTGATGCAGAATCTCATTCAGCAAGTTGTGTGCTACTTCCTGAAATTCTTTTCTGATAAGTCATTCAGAATTCACTGTTCTGTGATCTACTTAGGACTAACATTTATGGCTTCTAACACAAAAATTTGTACTTAAACATGCTGTATTTGTTTCCAGGTGAGCTAGAGAGCCAGAAATGTCTAATACATTTCAAACATTGCAGAGCTGAACAAAGAACTTCTTGCATGGGAGTGGGGAGAGTTTATTAAATTAGTAGCAATTACCTGGAAACATTCTCTCCTGATTTACTTAACGTAAAGGCTGCTTATTTGTTTGTGTGCCTGAACAAGTTCTTGTTAGAGTCTGAGGCACAGAGTGTGCCCTTGTCTCTGATGCCTAGCTCTGACATCCAAGAAAACACTGAATTTCATAAACACCATGTAAACAACTGTTAAATAGAAAAACTAAAAGTGTAAGTGTGTAGATTAGAGAGTTTTCTTAAGTCACTGGGTGAAAAAGTTAAAGTTTAGAGTATAAGCTCGTTTAGAGAACAGAAGACAAGATGGAGGGTTTAGGGTGTTGTCTCTTTTCCTTCTTCTTTCTTCTTCTTCTTCTCAAGGTTTTTGGGTAGTAGTAGGTGATTGGATAGAAAATGCCACAATGCAGCACACAGGTGTTGGGTCATTGGGTCACTAAGAAAAATAATTTATGTGTGTATAGTTAATTGGGTAAGAATAAATATAAAGATAAAAAGGCTGTGCAGTTTGGGGCCATTTCGTGTTTTTCAAGCCAACTTGAGCCAGGTGATGGTGGGTTGAGCTTGAGCAGAAAGTCTGGGGAAGACCTGCCAAGTCTTTTGATATATATTAATAAACACGAGAAACAAGAAGCAAACGAGCCTTTGGATAATCCTTCCTGAAACAGAACTGAGATAAGGGAGACTCCCCATGAGGGAGTATCCCAGAGGGGCTCAGCCTGGAGGAGACCAAAATCTCCAGCAACACTTGTAAGCACATGTTTAATTCTGCTTAATGCAGCCCTCTCTATTTCATATTTAGCCAGTGTTACTGTATTTATCATAGGGACCATAAGCAAACTTGATTAGAATGATAAGCAGGAGAGACTTCATGTGTCCCAGCCTCCCTCATCTAAAATCAGCTAGTGGTGACACTTCCTTTCGACAACCCCCACCCTGAAGAAAGTCTGCAGCAAAACAGGATATTTATGAAAAACCCATAGTTGAAGAGGTGGTGAAGTAAAAGCCAGAAACACTCCTTTTCTCTTTATCAGTTTCTGAAACATTTAATTATTTTAGAATTTAATTCAGACAAGGAATGCTATAGGCAGGCATAATCACATGCAAGATGTTATACATAGATGCTGTTGTCTAGCTTTGTGAAATCCATGACTGGAAGGATATTCTTGGTCATGGATCAGATCACTTAATCTCTTCAGTGAAATAATCCTAATGATTACTGTATCACAGTCCTTGCTAAGCACAGATTTTTTCTCTCTCACTTCTATTCAAGACTGCTTCAGACCCTTTGTTGGTTAGAAATCACAATCTTATTCTATAGTCAGACTATATACACTTGGTCCTGTGCTAATGCTGTACTTATTGTTTCTTCTATCCTGACACTTCTTCCCTTTTCCCCAGCTTCTTCTGACAGAGTGATCATAATCTCTGGCAAGTTTTGTTTGGTATCTTTTTCTTTTTTCTTTTTTTTTTTCTAACAATAACTAACCCAAGCTCTTTTGAGACAGAACATTCCACCCTCTTGTTACCCCAGCTGTAAAGCTCAATTCAGTGTCTGTGCTAGTCAAGTAGTGCAAAAATTGTTATTTCAATATTTTTTAATTTTTCAAGAAACTGTTTTTTGTTTATACTGATTAGTGGTCTCTGTCTACAAACTCGCTCCAAGTTTTCTGGGTTTTAGGCTCTTTGGAGTAGCACTCTCTTTGCAGAGGTGCTGGGCTCATTTGCTTTCCAGCAAATAATGCAAACTGGAAACATCTTTTTAAAACACCACATATTGCTGAATGGATCAGGTCCATATTCTTCATATTAAGTGTTGCTATAAAATCACCAAATCAGAAACTTTCAGTGAAAAAGCATAATTTTAAATGAAAACTTCATCAGGAGACAATTCAGAGAATGGAATTTTTGGTTAAAAAGAAAGAGAATGAACCCAGTACGACCTTGTAGACATGTGTTGTCCAATACTGCAGAAGATACACTTCAAACAACCTTACAAAACCTTCAGTGAGCTGGGTTAATAACATGGCCCTAAGTATTCTATATCTCCCAATGAGTGCTTTGATCAGGATCATATCAGTTATTCTCTGTGTCTGTTATCTAAATATGCAGAAATAACATTGCTCCAGGAGGCCCCTGAGCTGCAAATATCTGGAGTCTGAAAATGCTCGAACATTTGCGCTTTATTGCTACAATTCTCTCTAAGCATCTGGTGTTGACTATGGTCAGAAACAGGACTTGAGGAAACATGAACATTGGTTCCAACTCACTGTGGCTCTCTGCTGCTCTTAAATTGTCATAAACCAGATGACAAAAATGCAGGAAGAAAGAAAGAATACCCACATCTTCTCCACCCTTCATAAAATGGCAGGAACTGTAGATTTCCTTTCAGGCAGCTGGTACTTTAGTGCAAAGTACTGTTTACTGCCACGAGAAGAACAGTTCCTGTAGAAGAAATTATATAGGTGAGTTGGTGCCTTTTCTGACAGATTCAGGATCAGCTTTTGTCAGCCTGGCAGAAGCACGCAGCTACTGCTTCAACCCACTGGTAAAAATACCGACAAAACTGCTCTTAACGATTATTCTGTTCTAGACACTATCTGGAATGGGAGGAGTTGTGTGGCAGTTGGGCCTCCAGCTCTGCATTGCTGCTGTGCTAATCTTTGGTGGAGGAAGAGGAAGAGGTAAGAGACCTGAAATAGGTCCACGGTACAAAGACAGGTACATGCCTATGCTCATTTTTTATTCACAGATCCTTCAGTATGCAACCCAAGATCTTGTGACTGGCCTTTCCCAGGTCCCAGGAACCAGTACAGCTGGCTGATAATGCCAGGCCTACAGGACTGAGCACATACTGGACAAGCTGGGCACCAGAAAAAGTGTAGCCATTGCCCAAGATCCCTGCTCTAAGATCTTGCACTCATTTCCTGCAGTGAAGTGTGTTAGAGCAGAGTAAGAACATGATGAGGAAGATCAGATGCAGTGTCAGCAAAGTACTAGCAAGTAGTGCATTTATTTGCTGTACTGAGCAAGGCATCATCCAGTGACACATGAATCCAGTTCTGGTCTCCTTCCTCTGCAGAGCTCTCTGGCAGCCTGAGCTGCCTGAATAACTACGTGACGACTGTGAGCTGCATGTGGGTAACGGAGAAGCCAGTGGGTGATGGACCTTTCCACCTGCATTTCACCAAGTAAGAGCTCCACACCAAGAACTGTCCATGGCAGCCCCAGCCCTGGCATAGACAGGACAGCACTGAGAAGTAGGGTTGGAGCCCAGCTGTGGGCTTTGCTCCCTCCACAGCAGGAGACCTGTGCACAACTAGCTCTGCCATCTCATCACCCCAGACATCAGAAGCTGCCTCAGAAGCTGCTCTCTATTGTGATCCCACAGCCTCAGGAGCTGCAGCAAAGGTCAAGCACACACAGCTGCATGATCTCCTGTCAGCTCTGGGCTCTCCATCTGTTCAGTAAACCCCTCTGGCAGGCATCTCAGCACAGAGAACCTTCCCTTCCCAGCCTCTGGTCCCCATGACCTGGGAACTTCCAGGCCCCATCCTGCATAAAGCTGTCTAATCAACTTCTAATAATTTCTTTCCTTTTTGCCTAGAAATTCACACCTAATGGTTTAAACAATATTAGTAAATACATAAATACAAGTCAAGTTAAAAGCTTTAATAAGAGACTTAGAATATTATCTGAACAATTTTTCCTCTAATAGAAGAAATTGGGTGAATAGTTTGCTAACTGATAGGATAACTTGAGATGAATGTGTTTAGGTTATGTAGAAACATTGTCTTGACCATCAGTCAGTATTACATGAGGGTAAGCTACTCTAAACCACATTAGATGCCTCATATTCTGCTACAGTTAAGTAAAAAATAGCCTAACTCTTATTAATACTGGATTTTAAATATATGTAAAGATGGGCAAGCTGATAAACTGTGATATCTCAATTTCCTGTGGGATCACATGCAATGTGAAAAAATTGCAAATAAATGGCTAGACCACAAAAAGACAAACCAACTTCCAACATGTCAGTACTGGTTTGTTTGTAGTGAAAGAAGACTAAATGTACAGCTTATTGTTACCTCTGTGTTATGCACTTGTAACCAACCGTCCATCCACTCTTTCCCCCTACCCATCTGCTTTCCTGCAGTGACAGCAGCTCTCTCAGAGGGAGCAGGGAACAGCTGCTGGACAGTATGTGCAACTCTTGTGAGATCTGGTGCTCTCAGGAGTAAGGTTATGAAGGTGTCTTCTTCTTCCCTACCCAGCCCTGCCAACAATCCAGCATTTGGATTGCTGGTTTGCTTGCTGTCTGCACTAAAGAGGTTCATGGTCTTCCAGAGTGTGGTGCTGTGCTAAGTTGCCACACATCCATAAACTGAAAAACACTTAATTGTATTACTAAAAAAAACAAACTTTCAGCCTTCTTATTCTTCTAGCCTCTGGTCAAAGGGCCACAACGCCAGCTGCAAACTGACTGCCACAGAGAGTATGCAGAATCAGTACCACTGCACAATCCATTTAGCCAGCCAGATCTTGGAAACAGATGGTTACAGAGTCTCTCTCCAAGGAAACTTCTTTGGACATAATCACACACACATGACCTTTCCAGAGTACAATCCCCGCATGCACAGTAAGTACGAAACAGGACAGCTGTGAGCTGAGGCTCTGCCCAGAAACTTCAGGATAGGTCTGATATACTGCCTAACAAAGGATGTCCTAAAGATAATGAGGGAAAACAATGAAAACAATCAAGACTGTCCATCCCCAGAGAGTTCTCTGTGTGAACTGCACCAGTAAGGACACAGTTGCTGTCTCTCCATCCTGACTTTTCCCAGACTTCAGAGGGAAGTCTCTGGAGAGAATGTCTCTGGAGCACCATTCAACAATAATTCTCAACTGCATCATGTTTTCTTGTGCCCTGGGTAATTTGCAATTGGATTGCTTCAATTATTTGTTTGTTTTGCTGTTTTATTTCTCTCTAAGAAATTATGTAATGAGGAGTCATGGATTTATGTCCCATGGCCTGGCACTAGAGAGAAATGCTCAAAACTTGTCCATATTAGTGGTATGTTGTAGGTGCAGAATGTGATACCCAGAGTGGTTCTTTGCTTGCAAGAATAACCCTAGGGACTACTGGAGTTATCATTAATTTATGTCAGATCTGTAGCTGTTCTGATGCTGTAAGCTAACTTGGTCTACTACTAGTGTTAGTATCCCTCTTTAGACTCAGCTTTATTTTCCATTACTTCCAGCCACCCTAATATAATGTATTTTCTTCTGTGGCGTTCCAAACATCATGAAAAAAAATCCTGCCTCCTCTATTTGCAGTAAAACTTGATCCACCTTTGAATATCCAGAGCAATGCCACTGCCAGCAAGTGCCAGATATGGTGGAGTGTATGGAATGTGCCTTGGTACCTCGCTGAAATTCTCCAATATGAGTTGCAGTATAAGGAGTACAGCATGTCCTGGGAGGTAACTGGATGAAGCATACAGTAATCCTGCCTTGTTCTTTGGGTACAATGCCCCTGCCACTCAGCTCAGGGCTCTCCACCAGCTGACTTATACTGGCCTTTCTGGTTTCCCATGTTAAGGCTGAGAGATTTTACATAAAACATCAGTACTGGAGTTCAATAACTCTTCTTCTCATAAACCCTGCATCCATGACCATTCAGGCCCTCTTCCATCTAAGAAAAGAAAATCTGGAAAAGAAAAGAGAAGGGGAAAAAAAACAATAAAAAATAGTATTTAAAAGACCTTCCTTTTTCCCAGGCTCATTAACAGCAATGCTTTGTAATACTTTGCAGGTTGCATTGAACAAGACACTACCCAGTTCACTACCACAGGTAGAAATTGAAGCCACAGAGCTCCGCAGTGGCATTGCTTATGCTGCAAGAGTTCGCTGCAAAGTTTCTGAAAATGAGAATTCATACCACAGTCAGTGGAGTGAGTGGAGCCAGACAACAGTGTTTCAAAGAACAGGTACAAAGAATATTGTTTTCATCTTATTTCATTTCTTTTCATGTCCATGTTCCAGAAATAAAGAAGATACATGATAAAATGAAGCTTTTCAAATCATAACTAGCTTTCTTCAAGTATTCATAGCCAAATTGTTTTCCTTAAGGCCTCTAGCTGCCAGTTTCATTTGGAGTGCTTGGTTATTTGGGGTTCTGTCTTGACTTCCAGACTTCTTATTAAAAATTTTTGTGCTGATTCTTTTCCTAGATGTCCCAAAAGTCTCTGAAAAGATTCTAAATACCAAAATTATGCAGTACTTATTCATTCCTCTGAGTTTTGGCACTCTGCTCTATTTATTCTGGACCTGTAAGCTTTCCTCAAGGTATGTGATTTTCATTTAGTTCCCCTTGATCTTTATGGCCTGAAAAGGGTAAATCAAGAGTCATTATATCCCTTTTCCTTCCTGTTTCTGCTGCACAGACTCAGTCATTTCCAAAAGGTCTTTTGACAATCTTGGAATGAGACATCTTCCTTGGCTGATGATAGTGAATGACCTATATTTAATTAAATACTATACAGCCCTTATAGAGACCAAAGTACCTTTGGGACTCCCATATTTGGCTAAAGCCCAAGGATGATGGTATCTTGGAATTAAAGAAATTTAAGTCCATGGGAATATTTGAAGTTTCATGTAGATAAAAGTGCAAGTACACAGCAACCCATAAATGTGGTTAAACAATGCCAATGTACCTAAGCTACATGTGATGTTCCTGAAAGGAGTCAGTAGGTAAAATACCAATATAGGCAAACTAAACTGATTCTGATTCATTTGAGACCAAGTTGTACAGAGAAAAAAGTGGTTTTAAAACCTTGGTTCAACAATCCTCTGCAATTTTTTTATGTTGGCAGAGCATAGGTAAATCTCCTAGCTCTTTCATTTTTGCCTTGACATATATTATTATGCTCCATATGCACAGCATTCTTAGAGAAACAGAATACATGATGTCCACATGATAAAATATTTTTATAAGATAGACTCCAAAAAAACGGGGCAAGGATGTCTGGCAGAATTTCTCTGTTTGAATGTAATGAAATTAGAACTCCTTAAAACACTTTCAAAAACAGTGGTTTAGATCAAGTAAGCTGACAAAAACAATGCTTAAACAGCTCGGTGCATACAATGAGTAATAGACCAGTATATTAAGTTTGTGACATATTCCTAGGAAATTTATGAGACTGTGCTTCAAGTTAGAAACATTAAATGCATGAAGGTGGCAGAAAAATAATTGCATGAGAAGTCAGAAATTATGATGAGTGGGCTTCTTGTGTGATCTCACTAACATTGGTGGGGGGGTTCATCTAACCAGTATCATGGAGACAGAACACAGAAAGACTGTCCCTTTTTTTAAGTGTTGTTTTCTTACTTTAGGGCAAAAAGCCTCACATGCTTTAACATTCCCACGCCAGCTGCCTTCTTTCAGCCACTCTATAGTTTACACAATGGGAATTTCAAGGTGAGAAATAAATTTCATTTCTTTCTTATGACCTTCCATTCATGACAGGAGGATTTTTTTTTTTTCTGGGATTAATAATTCTAGTTCCTGAGCAGCATTACTGATGCATGGTTCTGATCTTCATGAAAGTTTATAGTTTCTCATTTTCCTGCTTCCACATACTAGCAAACCACCAGAGCTTCTGTCCAGCCTCTTGCGCCTTAGAAGTGGAACTCCACCAGTGGCTCCTAGCTCAGACTGAATGCAAAAGGTGCACCTTTTCAAAACCAAAGCAATACCAGCATCTTGCATTATATTCTGGTGGTGTCATCTTGTAAAAAATCTTGTAAAATTTTGTGAAATTAGCTGCTAGGTTTTTTACCCTATTATTCTAATTTTGCCTGTTGGATTTGCACTAAACATCTGGGTAATTGTGTCAAAGCCATAAAGAAAGAAAAGTTATTTTGAAATATGCAAAATGACCCAAACTTATTGATGCTTTCATAGGACTGGGTTGGATCAAATGAGGCTTGTAGCCAACTTGAAAGAGAAGAGGACAGCAACTCAAACAAAGTGAATGCAGATAGAGTTTCTGATTTAAACAACCAAGAACTGATTTCCCAAATCTCATTGAAACCTACAGGAAGCACAGATGCGGTTACTGCAGAAGAAAACTTTGCATTTGCCTCAGGTCCAAGCCAGCGGTATGTCCCCAGCAGGTACATAAGAGCAGAAGAGATAGAATTGTGGCCAGGACTACTGTTTTCACCAAACCATGCTGATGATACCGTTGGCCTGAAAATCTCTGAAATAATTAAAGGCAACCTTGAGAGCCCTAGTGTTGGAAGGAATTATTCCTCTCACTCACAACATGGAAACAGTGACCTTCTTATGCTTCAAGAATCTTTGGGGATAGCAGATGTGTCCTTCAGTGGTAGTGACTATTGTACTTTGTGTGACAAAGATACCACAGGAGGTTTGATTTCTGCTGAACTGCTGAAGCTTTCTAATGGAAATAGTCATGTTAAACATCAGAAAGATCAGTGACCTTCCCTGAGGAATACTGCCTACAAAGTTCCTTGTGCTCTATCACCTCCAACACTGTCCTCCCAAGCAGCATTCGTGGTGACTGTGCAGACAGTTTCAAATGTATCATTTTAAAATACATCCTCGACTTCTGTGCTTCAGAAGAAGATTGTGACTAAGTCCCCTGTCTAGTAAATACTACCCCTACAGCCATGGCAAACCCTGACTCTGGCAACATCTGCAGCCCCAGAGACATATGACTATGCTCTTCCCTAAATTAATCTCCTGGCTGCAAGATCCAGTAACCCTCTTGTTTAAGGAGACAGCAGCAGACCTGCTGTTTTCCTCAGGAAGAACTATTAGAACTGTGTGCCTCTTGGAAGCAGCAATATTTGCAATGTGATGAACCATGATTTAAACTGCATCATTTTGTAAAAACTATGCATGATCCTCTCTGGGTCACTGTACTTCTCTTCTAGGGCACTGTCCCCTCTCTCCAGGGCAATGTCCCCGCTCTCTAGAGCAGTGTCCCCGCTCCCTAGAGAAGTGTCCCCGCTCCCTAGAGCAGTGTCCCCGCTCTCCGGGGCAGTGTCCCCGCTCTCTAGAGCAGTGTCCCCGCTCTCCGGGGCAGTGTCCCCGCTCTCTAGAGCAGTGTCCCCGCTCTCTAGAGCAGTGTCCCCGCCCTCCGGCCTGCACGATGCCCCTCGGTGCGTGGCCGCCCCCTGCTGGCGGATCCCGGACGCCGCGAACGGTTTCTCCCACGTCCTCCACCACAGGCAGAACTCACTTTCCCGATTCTCTCCACTTGCTTCACATCTTCCTGAAGACATCATGCCTGTACTTGGATATACTATTCAGTTACATCCTCATTTGTTACATGGAGAATGAAATTAGTACTATCTGCCATTCTCCAATTCTGTTTGTCATAATGTGCTAAAATAGTATTCATCTGCAGTAACATCTCACCATTCATTATAGAAATTCTGGTACCCTATAGTTCTTACATCCTATTTCAATATATTGCTAGTAACGTATTATTTCAGAGTTTATATTAATACATTTGCTTTATTTTTCGAAGTGCAAATATTTGCACTTCATGTAATTTTATATTATTTAAGGTGTATTTAAAATATGCCAAAGTATTTTTTCTCCTCATTTTTGTCTCCCTAAGTGACTAAAATCTTTCCCAGAATAATATCACAAATCTTGTATACATACTTTCTATTTCATTACCAAAACTGATGAAAATATTGAGTCAGACCAAGTTTGAACCTGGAATGCTCCTTGAAATGCCATTCCACTTTAACAAGGAACTGCTAACAGACTCAAATAGATTATCAAAAAGTTTATTAATTTATTAACAAGACTAGGTGCTAGCATTTAGGTCAACCAGCTTCCTTAGTATTCCTTTAAAATTGAAATTTATTAAACATCTCAGCAAAGTCAAATTATATACTATCTAGCCTGCTAGCTAACAAGTAAACTTTCTTGTCAAAGATGGAAGTTATATTGTTTCTCTGTTTATCCACTTGCTGTAGCATTATTTTGGGCCTTACTTTTCCCACATCTGTAGGCGAGACTATCATTCTGAAATCCTCTAGGTTTCATGAATGTCTTCTCAGAAATAACTTTTAACATTGCAGAGATGACTTCAGTTATTTATGTTTTGCTTGGGTTTTTTTCTTGTTTGGGTTTGTTTATTTGTTTGTTGTTTTATTTGGTGTTTATGTTTTGTTTCATTTCCCCAAAAATTAATTTAGGGCAAATTTAATCTGTCCCTGAAGAATTTCACACACTTGCTAAGGACTTTAACTCAATTTTTTTGTGTGCTATTATCTTGTTAAAATGAATAATAATATTAATTAAATTGTTCACTGGAAGAATAGACGTGCCCTATTCTTCAGTCCATTACACATTATCTACTATTCACTCCCTTTGCTGAACAATAAAGAGCCTCTAGTCTCGCTTTTTCTTAAGACTGATGAGAAATTTGTAGATGCTGTGGTTGTCCCTTTTCTAATTAATTTTAGTTTCTCAGTTTGTTTTCAACTGAACAGAAGATAACAATTTCTACTATCTAGGTTTTCCAGTTTAGGGTTTGGTACCCTAAACTCTGCCAGATTAAGCCATTGGACTTTATAGCATTGTCACCTCAAATGATTACATATGATATACTGATATTTCATGACTTTAAATGCTACTGTGCACTTTGTTACCTCTATTCTAAAGGCATTATTTGCTTTTCTAGAAAGGAAAATGTTACAGTTTGTTGATATTAAGCAGCAGATTGTCTATAGTCATGCTGTTGCCTGATTTGGGTTTGCCTCAACTCATACATGCTGGAATACACATATAGTGTGTAGAGATGATCCACAGCTCAGGGAAGCTGAATCAGAGTATCACATGTGCCCAAGTAAGCCCTGCTGGAACAGGATGTGAGTCTGCACAGACCTGTCTTGACACACACAGCTTAATTAAGTAATGAAATATTATTGTAACTCTGTAATATTATGTAGTCATGTAATATTATTGCAAGTCTGATGTTTTTGGTTCCTTCCTTTGTATTCAAAACTCTTGGTTATATAATGTTTGAAATAACTGTAAACTTGCTGTGTACCATCCACAAATTTTATTAGTTTTGTGATAAACCTGATACTTTTTGAGCCTTATAAAGTATCCAAGGACATAAACATAAATCCAACTGCTCAAGCAGCTGTGTAGACTATTATGTAAGTAAGACCTAAAACCATAAACAGAGGAGAGAAAATTCTTACCAGGCCACATGGAAAAGAATCTGCCTTTTCACCAGGATAATCTCTTTGGACGCACATACGCGAAAACCATCTCAGCATCATTCAGTAGCTGCAAACACAGTTACAGCACTACTACCCTAAGTTATACAAAAGCTTTTTGGTACTTGGCACAGCTTCTCTGAGAGGGCTAAAATATGGATACAGTCTGAATAGCAAAGGTAGGCTTACAACAAAAAACCATACACACATATGTCCACTGACGCATGCATCCATATTACTAGAAGATTATGATCAATTGTCCTACTCGTCTGCAGAAGGATGAGAAAATTGTCATACAGGCTGGCAGTTTTAAAAATCTTTCTGAAAAGAGTGTATCAACTCTGGAACACCAAGGTTTCCCTGGCCCTCCACACCACCCCCATTTGAAGCTAAATATCTGTACTTTGTAGATTCTGATGTTCAGTAAACTAGATGGTCTTTTCCTACCTCATCCTTTTGTGTAATCCCTCACAATTCTAGGAATTCCTTAAAAACTCAATTTGTTTGCTGCAGTGTTGTGCACTGTCGCTAAAAGACACAAAATGATTGACACGAACACCTCTCAGTGTTAGAACAGGAAAAGAAAAACTTTATTCTCCGACTCCAGTATTTATAGTTTTTCAACAATGACCAGGAATTGGATAATTAAGCTACCAGGCACACTGGTCATGCGAAATGTGATACACAGCATGAACAAATTCATGCTAAAGTTATAATCTTGGCTGACAAGAACCCTAGCATATTTCCAGGAAACTTTCCCTGACGAGATTATAGTGACATGCAGCAAGGCCAAAATGTTCATCTGCAAGGGGCATATTTCCAAGACACGTCTGTCCAATAAGATTATAACAATATGCAGTCATAAATATTCATCTGCAAGAAGTGTATTTCCAAGAAACCCAACGAAATTACAACATATATGCCCAAAACAGCATGAATATTTTTCTCCAAGAAGTGTATTCCAAAGGAACCCCGAAAAGCCTGAAAGCATATAAAAAACACCCTGGGATGGTCACAGTTTGTGAAGCATGGTGAAGTGCTGCAGAAAGCCTCCTCCATGTCTCACCCGGCGCTGTTCACCCGGCACAGCGCCAAACTGATTTTTGCTTATGGTTTCTTTTTACGATTGTATTTTGATTATGGAATATTTTTTTTTAATTAATGAAATTGGCTACTCATTTATAACAGAAACGTCCACCAAAAGATGTTTATTAGAAGGAATGTGATAAACAACTTATTTTTATAGAACTTTCATGGGAAAGTAACTAAAACTATGAAGACATTATCAGAAGGCTTTAGGTTTCAGGGTGACATCTTACACTTTCTCCTTTAAAAAAGAAAAAGAAAAAAGAAAAATTAACAAAGAAAATAAACAATATTCTAAACAATCAAAAAGGAAAATAAACAATGTTCTAAACAATCAGAAGGCTCTAGTTTCAGGGTGATAGTGCACCGCTGGCCCCACCCTTCCGGCGTCTGTGGCCGGCGGGCTCACACATGGACTGAAGCCGTTAACGGGCACAGTGGGCTCCTACGGACCGCAGGGAAAACAGCCTGTCAGAACCGGCGAGGGAGCGCGGGTGTTACGCAGACGAGGCAGGTTCTCAGGAGCAAACACCCCCACTGGAATTACATTTATGACACACTTGAGTTCCGAGCTGTGCGGAGAGCGCGGCGCTCCGGGCGGTCCCGGAGCTGACGACTGCCGCTGACGCGGCCGTCGTGGCACGGACCCAGCTGTGAGTGTCCGGAGGAAGTGCTGCCCTGCGGCCCCATCCTCTTCCGCCCTTATTACACGGCTTCCTGGGGGCGTCAGCCCACAACTACGCATTCTCTCCTCGGCTCGGGCGCTGAGGCTGACGGGGGCCCCTCTGGCCCGACCCGAGTGTGAGTAACAGTTACCACCGCCAATGAGCGAGCGCAGAGTGCGGAAGTCCTGCCTACGACGGGGGGGATTGTTGTGGT